GGGGGGGGAGGGGGGTGGGATTGGGAGAGCGGAGTCATTGGGGGCTGGAGGACGGGCTTTTTAAGGGGGGGGGGTGGGGGGGGGAAGGGGGGCGGGATGGGAGGTGAGGGAAGGGAAAGGCGGAGGGGAGGGGGAGGGGGGGGGGGCGGGGGGTGGGGGAGGAGCCGGGGAGGGTAGGGGGGGTAGGGGGGAGGGGGGGTGGGTAGGGCTGGGGGCAAGGGGGGGGGGGAGGGGGGGGCCGGTTAGGGGGGAGAGGGGTGGGGGGGATGGGGCTGGGGTTCAGAGAGGGCGAGAAGGGGGGGGGGGGAGGTGGCGGGGGGGGGACGGTGCAGACTCAGCGGGGGGGGACCGGGGGTGGAGATTCAGGAGGGCGCCTGGCAGGCGGGGTGGGGGGGGGGGGGCGGGGCTAAGGAACGTTGAGGGGGGCAGTGGGGGAGGGGAGAGGGGGAGAAGGGGTGTGGTAAGTGGGGAGAGGAAGGGTTGGAGGGGTGAGGGGGCCGCGACAGAAGGGGGGGGGGGGGGAGGGGGGGGGGAGTGGGGGGGGTCGGGTGGATGGGGGGTGAGGTGTGGGTTTAGGGGGGGGGTGGGGCGGTGTCCCCCCCCCCCCCCACCCCCCCCCCCCCCAATGGCCCCCCCCCCCCGCAGAGGGTCCCCGCCCCTCGGCTGAGCGGGGCGGGAGAGGGGTGAGGTGGGGAATCGGTTGTAAAGGGGGATGGGGAGCTGGGAAAGCGGATGGGGAAAGGGTGAGTGAGGTTGGTGGGAGGGGGGGGGGGGGGAAGATAGGGGAGGTGGAGAGGGTGGAGGGAGGGGAAGATCGGGACGAGATTGGGGGGAGAGGGCCTTGATGAGGGTCCAGGGGAATAGGCTTGTTTGGAGTATGGAGGGGGGGGAGGTGTAGGGGTGGAAGGCAGATTTGTATCGGGGGGGGGAAGGCCTTTTTGGGATTTGGTTTTGCGCCATAAATCGCTCCCGGCACGACGTGTCGTTTTAGGGTTTTTGGGTGTGATCAGACTGCCAGGGCTTGGGGCGGGGGGTTTGGGGGTTTAAATTTTCGTGTTGGTTTTTTTTGGGGCTAATTTAGTCCAAGGGTTTTTTGACCGCGCATTTTTTGTAGGCGGGGCATACCCAAATCGGGGGCAGGACAGGGGGGGGATTGGCGGTCCCTGGATTTTATCAACTGCGGGGTGGAGGGGGGCAGGGTTTTAAAAGGGTTTTCGGAGGGTTTTTGTTTTTGTAGTGTTACCTTGGAGGGGTAGGGGGTTGGAGGAAAGAGGGGTTTTGAGGGAAAGGTTTTCCCGATTGTGGTCAATGAAAGGGGAAGGGGGTGTTAGTGAGGTTGTTGGGACGCAAGCGTGTAGAAGACAAGATCAAGGATATTTTTTTTTTTTTTATTTTGGAAGAATGCCGTGGCGGGTTTTAACCTCGAGTGTGTGTGGATTGTGAATGCACTGTGCACAAGTGCAAAGGAGGAGGTTTAAGTCAAGGAGACGGGCTTGTGTCCTGGTTTGTCGAGGTTGAACAGGGATGTTGAAATCCCCACGGATAATCAGTGGGGTAGCTTTTCCCCCAGGGAGGAGAGCACAGAAGGGTAGCCAGGAGGAGAAAGTCTTCCAGAAAGCGGGGTATGGATCCTGGATGGCTGTATACTCACGCAGCTGATCTTAAGTGGAGTCTTGGGTGAGTATATTGTCGAACGCGAGTGCAGCCTCGAAGGAGGAGAAGGATTGGGAGGAGTGGGTTTGGAGAGGAACTCCGGAGGTGCTCTGCACGACTGGTGACAGGGAGGCAGGCCAACCCCACCTCACCTTTACACGACAGTTGGGCCTGGATTGCGTAGGGTCCATGTGAGAACCGCCCAGTTGGAGAAGAGTGACAGCAGCAGGAGGTAAGTCAAGTGGGCTGGATCCTGGTTTCCGTATAATAGCCAGTGAAGCTTGAATGGGAGCGGGGAAACAAAGAGGTCGTGGATGGCGGTAAGCTTGTTGCACGCCGATCGGGCGCGTTCAGGAGGTTGGCACATGAAAACGGGGGGGCGAGATTTTAGGGAGCAGGGGACAGATACTAAGTTGCGGGGGTTGCGGCAGGACGTGGAGGCGGGAGGGTTTTGTGCGGGGTGAGGGAGGTGGTGGAGGGCCATGGATTCGAGGAGATGTCCCCCGCGGTTTATGAGGAGGAGAAGGGTGAGAAAGGGTGGCATGGGAGCGGATGTGCAGGAGCGTGAGAAACTACAAGTGGAGGTGTGTTCGGGTCAGTGGGAGAGTGGAGTAAATAGGAGGGAAGTGGTAGGTGCCATAGAGGGGTGAGGGAAACACAGTGAGGGCACAATATACAAATGTTTGGAGGAGCAGAGGGATATAGTGAATGGATTTTGGGAACAGAGGAGAGGAAAATTAGAGAAGGAGGAGTGGAAGAGGCATTTTGGGGGAGGTGAGATGAAAGCAATATTGTAGGGAGATGATAGCAATGAGGGGAGATGTACAAGTTTTGGGGTGGAGCAGAGGGTGTAAAGAAATGAGATTTGGGAACAGAGGATAGTAATATGAAGAGGAGAAGAGTGGTGTATTATATAAAAGGTACACGGTGTGGGACTCAGGGTATGTAAAAGATATTTCCCAGGGTGTTTCCTTGCAGTCTGTCCAGCATGCAGTTAGAGTTTTCTTGCTGTTGTTGTGTCTTCCCGCTGCTTAAGTTCTCCTGCTTTAGTGTTCAACTGCTTTTGTTTTTTCTTAACTGCTGTCTGCACTCATTCAAAGCCAACACTCCATCATAAGCAGCACCCCATCAGAGACTGTGCCCCCCATCAGAGATCTCCCCGCCATGAGCTGAACTACAAAATTTAGGGAGATGCTCAAATGAGCATTCAACTCCGCCCCCAATTAGAAGCTGATAAGGCTCACATGAATAAGGGGGGATGTTTCTTAGGAACCAGGCCACAGTCATAAACCTGAGTGCGCCTAGAGGTGAGGACAAGTCAACAGCATACACAGATATAATTACAACATTTGTTGAGAATTTAACAGGAGTCGATGCGTTTGTCTGGTTAAGAGTGGAGGTAGCAGATAAATGCAGTTACCCAGAGAAGAACAGCAGGAGTCAATGCGTTTGTCTGGTTAAGAGTGGAGTAGCAGATAAATGCAGTTACCCAGAAGAAGACCTTGCTTTGTGCACTGGTGCGCAGTCATGTTGAACAGGAAGGGGCCATCCTCAAACTCTTCCCCACAAAGTTGGGAGCATGAAATTGTCCAAATTGTCTTGGTATGCTGATGCCTTAAGAGTTTCCCTTCACTGGAACTAGGGGGCCAAGCCCAACTCCTGAAAAACAACAACCCCGTACCATAATTCCCCTCCACCAAACTTTACACTTGGCACAATGCAGTCATGCAATCCATCGGATTGCCAGACAGAAGCATGATTGGTCACTCCAGAGAACATGTCTTCACTGGTCTAGAGTCCAGTGGCGGCGTGCTTTACACCACAACATCCAACGCTTTGCATTGCATTGCACTTGGGGATGGAAGGCTTGGTATGCAGCTGCTCGGCCATGGAAACCCATTCCATGAAGCTCTCTACGCACTGTTGTTGGGCTCATCTGAAGGCCACACCAAGTTTGGAGGTCTTTAGCTATTGACTCTGCAGACAGTTGGTGACTTCTGCGCACTGTGCGCTTCAGCAATGCGCTGACCCCGCCCTGTCATGTGACGTGGCCTACCACTTGGTGGCTGAGTGGCTGTTGTTCCCAGTTGCTTCCACTTTGTTTTATAATCCCACTAACAGTTGAGCGTGGAATATTTAGTAGCCGGAAATGTCACGGATGGACTTATTGCACAGGTGTGCCACCTATCACGGGACCACGCTTGGAGTCACTGAGCCCCTGAGAGCGACCCATTCTTTCAAAAATGTTTGTAAGTAGCAGTCTGCATGCCTAGGGGCTTGATTGTATACACCACTGGCCATGGAGGTGTTTGGAATACCTGAATCCAATGATTTGGTGGGCTGGCCCAATACTTTTGGCAATAGTAGCATATATACAGTACATAATGTATATCTATGCCCAATATCAATTTGGTTAGAATAAAGAAATCGATTTGTATTTACCTTTATAACATATTTATTTTTCAGGATTTATTTTTGATTCTTTATGTGGTCTTTATTTATTTATTTATATTTTATTTTTCCATTGAATGTGGGAGTATTGCAGCAGCCATCAGTATTTACTTTCCGTTTTCTATTCATTGTTAGTTTGTTTCACCTGACTTTGTATCAATTATTCATTGAATAGATTGAAACAAACTTTATTTACTGTTTTTGATTGTTCTAGTGGATCTGCCTGAAACTGTCATAATTGTGTATTGCTAAAATTTTATTCTTCAAAATTTTTTATACCTTGTAAGCTGGAACCCCTACAGTTGGACGTTCTGTCATATATTGAGCCTGGAGGGCAGAGCTCTGATTGCTGGAATTCATCTTGTTCACCTTTTCCTTATACATATAATTATATACACATTTACAGTCTAGTGAATGGTGTCTTCTCCAGTATAATGTCTTCCTGAATCCTCACATTATATTTCCCTCTCCTGGTGAATTTTTTGGTTTATAATGGGAAATCAGACTTCTCAATCTGAATTCATTTTGCTTGGCCTGTCAGACCTCACGGATTCTCAGGTCCGGGTATTTCTGCTGATCCTCCTCATCTATGTGGCCACACTGGTTGGTAATCTCTTCTCTCATCATTTTTCTGGTGGTCTCAAACTCCCCACCTTCAGGACACCGATGTACTTTTTCTTAGGAAACCTCTCGGTTTTAGACATCTTCAATTCCTCCATTTCAACATCTCATGTGTCTTTTGACATCCTGTACTGGAAAACAAACTGATTTCATACCCAACTTGTATTTCCCAGGTCTTCCTATTCATTGGTTTGCCAGCACTGAGTCCTCCATACTTACAGTGATGTCCTATCGATCGCTATGTTGCCATCTGTCGTCCCTTGCATTATACAACCATGATAAGCATTCACTTGTGTGTTCAGATAGCATTCTTTTTCTGGCTCTTCAGGTTTGTATGTTGCTTGGTACACACACTTTGTGCACTAAGACTGGCCTTTCCTGACCCCACCACCATCCCAGGATTCTTTTGCGAATTATATCAGCTGTTTCAACTATCATCTTCTGACAAATTCCTCAATAATTTACTTTTATATGTTGAATCTGTAAGTATTGGAGTCACTAGCTTTCTCATTACTTTCCTCTCCTATGTCTACATTTTCAAAGCCATTCTAAAAATTACATTGAAGGATGGAAGACGGAAAGCTTACTCCACCTGCAGTTCTCACCTCACGTGACTTCATTTTTTATGGGGGCTGGTCTTTTCAACTACTTTCAATTCAACACGAACAGTTTTCTGGCAGGCCGAACTGATTTCTGTATTTTTACACAATTGTCACCCCTCTCCTAAAATCCAATTATATACAGCTTGAGGAACAATGACCTGAAAGGAGCTCTTCGGAAAACTCTGTCCAGAATTGCGATGCCACGCCTTTATTAACTGTCACTGAAGGAGAACTGCACAACAATATTGTCAATCTCAGGGATTTAGCTTGCATTTATTACTCATTAGCTGGGGTTATATCATCTTAGATAAGAATAAACATTTCTAATTTTGATACGTAGGACACAAGGGCAAATAAGTCTCCAAACCATTCACATCTGGATAGCAGTGCCGAATTATATACAAAACCATAATGACTTCATGTTGCTTAAACACTTGTTGCCCACCCAGTACATTTAGTTGTGAGCCAGGCTCAGCACTCCAGGTCGAGGAGAGTGTACTGAGTACAATGGCTCAGCACACAAGGCACCTAAGTGCTGTCATCCTGGATTGGAAAAGGTAGCAGCACATGTCCCATGACCATCGTGTACAGTGGAACACAGTGCGTCACTTCCTGCACGAATACGCATGGCCACTATCAGCATCCCAGTGGTATCAATGTGGATGTGCTGTGACCAATCATTATCAATCACACAATGCTTATGTAAGCAATTCTGACATGAATGAATTTTGCCATTCTATGACAGCTATAATACTGTATGTGATGCTGTGATTGGGCCAACAGCTATCACATGGATAACCCTCACTACCTGTACCATGTGATTAAGCAGTGGCCCCAATCACTGCATTGTCAACAGGTAACTAAGCTATGCATGAATGGAAGCCTCATTCAATTAACAGCCTAATGTTATTGCTTATACATGGTGATAATTCACAAAAAAGGCAATAAACAGTGTAAAAAAAATCTCTTCCCCTCCCCCGCATCCATAGTAGTACAGTGTCACAGTAACCACGCTTGGAGTACCACTGAGCTCCTTGAGAGCGAGACCATTCTTTCACCAATGTTTGTCGGAAGCAGGTTTGCATGCCTAGGGCTTGATTTTTATACACCTAATGGCCATGGAGGGGATAGGAACACCTGAATCCAATGATTTTGGACGGTTGGGCCCATACTTATGGCAATCTATAAGTATATATCAGTTTTTATTTGGAACTAAAATATTTTTAAGGATTAAAGCACTATTTTATTGTTTCCTTTTGCTTGAAAATGGGAAGAGATTTAGTGGTGTTTTGGGAGGAGGGGTGGTCGCAAGTGCTAGATACCAGTAACATCCCATGTGTCCATGGAAGGGACAAAAATTAGTTTTACGAGCAAAATTTGAGGTAATTTACAGGAGGTCAGGCTGGACATCTGATGCAGCGTGTTCACTTTATAATTGTTGGATGCAGCCAGGATAGTGATTTGTAGTGAAAAGGCACAACATGGTGGTTTATAGAAAGGACCTTTATGTTTACACTGTATATCGTTCACGTTTTGCATTGTATTATGCGGAATGGTGTTAATTTATATTGCTGCCCACCCTTGTACCGCCTTGCCCAGACCTCATCCTAATAAAGAATTATTGTGTGATAATACGTGTGGCAGGATTACCAGGGATTGGGTTTTGGAGGCAATTATATATCATCCACTGTTAGGGTGTGGTCCCTCTTAAGGACCTAACAAGGATATTTTGAGTGCTGAGGATTCTCCCCTGACTTGAATTTCCCAGAAGAGAGTTTGGGTGGGAAAAAGCCCAAAACCTGACTTGGGTCTTTTGGGCCTGAAAGGGGTTCCTGCCGAATTTTGGGGTTTAAAAAAGGGAGGAAGCAGCCAGAAAGGGTTAGTGAGGTATTGAGTGGAGTAGGACCACTTGTGAGAGGGAATGGTTCTGCTCAGTTTCTGAGACACTGTAAGCTGCTGGAAACTTCTGGAAACCTGGAGCACCTCTAACCCCGTTGGGGGAAATTTATACTGGGACTGAGCATGTTTTTTGCGAATACCAACGTTTCTGAACTGTTTTAGCTGAAAAAAAGCGGCTTTGTTTGCCTTTGAAAAAATAAAACCCGTTTTTTCTTTTACCAAAACACTGGGTTTGATCTGGCCCCCCAAAAAATGTCACAACAACAAGTAATTTGGCCCGTAAAGGACTTTCCTATTTTAGGGGGAAATTTGGCCAAAAAAGTTACCAGGAAAAAAAAGGGCACAGGCAAATGTTTTGCTACAACAAAAAAGACAGTGCGAGGTACAGGTTTTAAAATTAGCTGGCAGCATGACAATTTTTTAATGCTAAAAAGGTAAATAAAATTTGAGAAAAAAAACAAGCGGATTTTAATAAATTAAAGGGATTGCAGAGAAAAAAAAATTTAGAGGTTTTTTTTTTAAAAATTTTTTCCGCAGCAAGACAGTTTTATTTGTGATAATAGGCCCAAATGCTTTATTTTAAATTTTTTTTTAGTACGGGGCTAGGGGGGTGCGATGAATTTAAATGATATAATGTGAGGGGTTTTTGGTAAAAAACTGTTTTTAATCTTTTTTTATTTCAAATTAAAAAATATTTTGTTGTTGCAAAACAAAAGTCGCTTAACCTCATGCCCACGCGCATAGCCGAATGACGGTTCACCGCGGCCGGCCATTTGATGGACGTCATATACGTTCCCCCCAAAGCGTTCCCG